TAAAGACTGGTCTGTTTTTTTTTTTTGTCAGTATAGTATTTATGAAATGAAAGATTTCTAGACCTGGGTAGAACCAAGCCCGGTAGAATAATGGCTTGTTCTTTCTCATATTCTCCAAGCATTAATATGTGTGTGTATGTGTGTGTATGTATGTGTTTCAACCTAGTTTTAAAACACTATTGCCACAATGTATATTTTAATACCTTTAATATGCATTTTAATATACATTTAATATATAATAATATAATAACATAATAATCCCAAAACTTAGGATAAAACTTTATTTTGCTCTTTGCTAAGCTATTAGTTGTTCAGTTGTATCTGACTCTCATGACTCCATAGACCATAACTTGCCAAGCCCTTCTGGTCCATGGAGTTTTCTTGGCACAGACACTGCAGTGATTTACCATTTCCTTCTCCAGTGGAACACCTTTTGTCACAACTCTCCACTGGGACCTTTCTATCTTGGGTAACCCTGCCTGGCATAGTTCTTATAGCTCATAGTTTAATGGAGATACGTAAGCCCCCCTATTACAACAAGACATTTATTCAGGAGGGAAATCTATAATTACTTTTTCTTTTAGATTGATATCCTTAGTATTCAGTAATTTTGAGGATAGTTTGTGCTTCAATTATTTTATGTTTTACATCTTAAAATATATTTGAGGTGAAATAATCATAATGAAAGTTACTGGCATTTATGTAGACTTTATTATTTACAAAGGGCTTAATATACATTATTTATTTTGATCCTCAAAATATTCCAATAATTTAAGTACTTTCTTCTTTTACTGATAGAGTACATGACTTATCCAAGTTAGTATGGTAAGCAGCAAAGCCCTATCTCAAATCCAAGTCTTTGGATACAAAATTTGGTGACTTTTCCAATATACCAGTAATTCTCACCATTTTTTTTAACGAAGAGCTGTTGAAATATGACTTTATATTTTTAATGCATTTTGGAAAAAATTGTTGTATACTTTAGGGTACATAAAAGATGCCAATCTTATGGGTTATTTTAATGCCTGAACACTTAAAAATTAAATATAAATTTAACTTACATTCATTATGCATATGGATGGTATTAATGCAAATGAAATTGTGCTCCATCTACCCATAATATCCAAGACGTATCACAGGATCATAGACCATAGTGCTAGAAAGGGGAATTAGAGGCCGTGTAGTCAAATAACCTCCAATCTCATTTTATATATTTCTGTTATTTGCAGCATATTTTACCCTTATTGTGATGAGTAATGAATTTTTCTGTCAAGCATTGTGCAGAGTGAGTCTCTTGGGATGAGTTTCCTCAAATCTGGGGGTTTTTTGTTTTGTTTTGTTTTGTTTTTATTTTTGTTTTTGTTGGCCAATAGTTCCTGGTAATTGGTTAGTTGCTAAGTGCTTTCATTGGTGGGGGTGGGATTAGGAATCTTTTAGGTTTGTGAAGTTGGCTTCCAGTCGGTTCATTGCTTAAGGACTTTTCTTTTTCCCTGTCAGGCCTAACATAATGAAGCTTTAACATGATTTCATTTGAAACATTGTATTATTCCTGAAATGAGCAAATATATTAGTCAACAATTAGTCAACAAATATTACTGTTCTATGTGTCCTTTATGTGTCAGAAACTATACTGGGCTTTGAAAATATAAAGAATGAAACAATCACTACTTTCAGTGAGCGTATATCCTAACAGGTGGCAATAAATGCATATAAAATTTAATAAATACATATTCACACACATACACATGTGTGTATATGTGTATGTATATGTATGTATATATACGCATACATATATATACACAAAAGGCAGCTAAGTGGCACAGTGGATAGAGTGCCAGGCTTAGAGTTAGGAATACCTGAATTCAAATCTGGCCTCAAACACTTATTAGCTGTGTGAGTTACTTAACCCTGGACGACTTAGACGAGTTACTTGTTTGCCTCAATTTCCTCCTTTGTAAAATGAGCTGGAGAATGAAATGGCAAACTACTCTAGTATCTTCACCAGGAAATCTCCCCCAAATGGGATCACAAAGGGTTGGATACAAGTGAAAATAGCTAAACAACAACATATACATGTATGCAAAGCAGTTAAATACCAGGTAGTTTGAGAGGGGCCCCAACAGTTGGGGATACATATTTCAAACTCCTGACAGTTAATGGTTATGACTTTTATGTTTAGGCACATAGCTTTCTGAATTTTTTAATAATATACTTAATAAATGCTTTTGGTAATGATATGTTACAGGACTAAATTTTTTTCTAATTCTGGTATATCATTTAAAAAGTGGTTGGTCATAATCCCTTTTGTTTGTTTGTTTGTTTGTTTTTGGTGAGGCAACTGGGGTTAAGTGACTTGCCCAGAGTCACACAGCTAGTGAGTGTTACATGTCTGAGGCTGGATTTGAACTCAGGTCCTCCTGACTCCAGGGTTGGTGCTCTATCCACTGTGCCACCCAGCTGCCCCCTTCATCCCTTTCTTTAGAGTTTTTTTTTTTTTTTGGTCAACATTTGTAAAGTTAGATTCCCATGATTTTTATACAATATTCATCTTTTCAGTTTCCAAGCTAATGGATATTCATTAATTTCTTGTTGCTTACTGAATAAAGTCCAGACTCCATAGCTTGACATTCAAGGTACTTCATTATTAGATCCCAAGCTATATCTCTCTATCTTTTCAGCTTCATCTCCAAATATTTTTCTGTACATATACTACACTAGCCAAACCAGGGTGCTTACTTTTCTCCAAATATTCTTACATGTTTTCCAGCTCTTAGAAATATCACTCCTTATTTTTTCTTATAAAAATATTACCCATCCTTTAAAGGCATATTCGTGCAAAAGCTATTTCTTCCTTCCTTAAAGTCTCCTTGTATCAGTCTCTGAATTTCATATAGATATTTGATTATACTATTGTTATGGCACTAACAAAAAAGGCTTTGAGGTTTGGTTATTTTTTTTTATACACCTTAGGATCATAGACTTTAGAGATACGTTTTAGAGATGATCTGGTCTTACTCCTCATTTTACAGATGAAGCGTCTGAGACAGCTGAAGTGATATGTGCAAGGTCACATAGGTAGTGAATAGAAGGTAAGCTTCTTGAGGGCAGGATTCTATTCCATGTAATATCTAATTCTTAGCATATAATCAGAACTTAATAAAGTTTTGGTGAATTGTTCGTGATAGCATAGCTGAGATTTGAACCATCTTACTCTGAGTGCAGTTTATCTCTTAACTTTAAAAATAAGAGAACTGAACTGCTGTAGAACAGGACAATGTATAGTGTCAAGTACCATGCTTTGCACATAGTAAATGTTCAGTAGATTGTTGTTGAATGAATGAATGTGTCTTATTTATCTGAAGGTATCCATTCCTAAGTCATTTGAAGATGGATCTTAGACATTGTTCTCTATCTAACTTACTTCAAAGACTATAACTGGGATATTTTTCCCTCATATTTTTCACTAGTTCAGTTTATGCATCAGTATGAAATGTTTGACCTTCACCCTTTACATGGAACCTGTGGATTATTTTTCTTTGTCCTGTAATACGATGTGGATACTGGGACATGACCTCATGGTGGAAAATAGATTGAGTCTGAGTTAGTCTCCATTTCTATTGCCCATAAAAAAAAAGAGTATCATATTTTTGCTTCTACCTGCTATGATCTTGCTATTTATTTTGCCCTCAACTTCTCAAGATTACACTGTTTCTCACTATTGAGAGAGAGTTTTAGAAAGATGAAAAAAATGTCATATTTTTCTTGGGAGTTTTCCCTCAAATTCTAATACTAATTATTCTAATTCTAAAAAGGACAATTAATATATTATTAAGAAGAGATTTTTTCATATTGGACAAAATTTGTATTTTTTGAGAGGTAAGATTTAAATACAGTTACAGTGAGATTGGAGCTAAATCCAAATCAATGTTTTATTTCTTAAAATAAAACTCCTTAAATATACAAAGATGATGCATTTGGAATATTTGTGCTTAATCTTTTATCCATTTATTTCACTCCTATTTGTAGTTACCTTTATTCATTGCAGTGTGTTTAACTGAAAAACAGTGAATTACTGAATATGATTTTCATGTATTAGTATCTTGTCTTATGAAATTTTTATTTTAAATCATTATTTTTTAAAAAAATTGTAGTTAAATTTTAGTACTATGTTGAAGTCAACATGGACCTTAGATTAAGAATTCCTTGCGTAAGTTTAGAATACCTGGCACAGGGGAAAGAACAAAACACTTTGAGAAAGTAGATTTGGGGTTGGGTTCAGACACTGACATTACCTACTCAACAGATCACTTAACCACTCAAGGTATTAATATTCCCATTTTTGAAATGGAGAAAACAATTTTTGCCAACTAAGCATCTTTGATTCCTTCAGTTGGCATAGTTCTAGCTCTCCTCTTGGTCTCTATTCTGGTTGCAGATCAGAAAGACAAGAGCTGGAGATACTGATGATTTATTTCCATAGGGATAATATTAATAGGAGCCGGAGTGTAATAAGGGTATATAGATAGAAAAGAGGAACAGAGATTTGAGAAACTCTTGCATTTAAAGGTGTGTGAAAAGATTTGGCAAAAGAGCCAGAAAGAACGTGTTTCAAAATGGAATGTCATCATAGTATCCAGAGCTACTGAGAAGGGTCAGGGAGAATTAGGATGAGAAGAATAACTTAGGAATTAGTAGGTTATTGGTGAATTTGGAAATGAATGTTCATTTAGAATGACGATGACCGGAGCCTGCCGTATAGGATGTAAAAGAGTATGTGGTTGGTGAAGAAACAGGTATATATTGTGAACTCAAGGGAGTTTTCAAGTATAAGCTAGAAAGGTATTAAAAAGGATTTATCTCTTTAGATATGAAATGTACTACTAAGGTCCTTTCCTAATCTGATTCTATAGTAGTTAGATCACAATTTAAAAGCAGAATGTCTTGTTGATTTCCATATGTTACAGTTCAACTTTTCTCCCTCTCTCTCTTTTAAAACACAGAAACAAATAAAAAATGGTGTGTTTTGGAAGGGGGCTTCTTGAGTTATTATGAAAATGATAAGGCAACAACTCCTAATGGCACAATTAATATGAATGAAGTTATCTGCCTTGCTATACACAAAGAGGACTTCTATATAAATACCGGGTAGGTTTTGAAATTAGATACTTCAGAAGTAAAATAATATATTTATGCATTTTTGCAAAGAGTAACTTATGCATTTTTATTGCTGCCCCATACTCCTTGTGGACTTTCAGTTCTTTCTTTTAGGAGAAAACAAAAAAGACCTATTAAATATAGTCTCCAATAAAGGGCATCCATTCTTGGAAAAGCTGTTGGATTTGGAGTTGGAGGATCTGGGTTCAAATGCTACCTCTGTTACTCATTAGCTAACCTGGGGTAAATCACTTAATCTGTCTTTGGACTTTAGTTTCCCAATCTGTAAAATAAAAGGGCTCAGTCAGATAATGTCCAGGGTCCTTGCCAGCTCTACATCTATGATTCTCTAATACAAAGAGAAGTCTTTAAAAAGTTTGAAAATGAAAAATTTACCAACTAGTAACCCGCAAAATGTCTAAATTAATTGGAATTATCTAAGTAACCTTTCTTTATTCCATTTCTCAAAATCAAATTTTTTTTAATATTTATCTTTATATTATTTAAAAAAATTCCAATTGAGAATTTATATTCTGAGCTAAATTAGCGATTATAGCAATGCTGGCCCACAAAATAAGAGACAATAAAATGAATTCTTGAGGGCATTTAAGATTGGAAGAGTGAGTAATATTCATGTGATAATATGAAAATAGTGAATTCTATATCTGGATTAAATTTAAAGCTATTTTTCTAAACATTCTGCTGAGGGCCATTACTGGAGTTTTTATATACCATATGTCTTCATTTGGCACAAAAATTGCTGAAGTGTTTAATTCTTATGTGTAATAAGGTTCAGTTTTGGAATGCTTTATAATTTAATATTGTAACTGATTTGCAACTTGCAAATTCCTCCAAAAACTTGATTTCCTTACTAAGCAAAGAGATGTGATAGCCAAAGACAACAACACTTAAAATTGTAAACTCATTTACAAATCTCTAATGAAAGGAGGATGGCTAAAATTTATGAACAATATTGATGCATGGAATGTAGTGCTAATGCCTAGACTAACAAGTCAGCAAAAAGCTTGACATGAGACCCGATTGAGCTAGATAATCCCAACAGTATTTAAAGATGAAAGTAAAAGAATAATAAACAGAAAAAAAAATACCACGGAGTAGCCAAAACTTTTATAACAAATTATTTTCCTTATCAATGATAGTTGAACCAGGATGTTCCTCATCTATGACACTTCAGTGCGGCTGTGCCATATACAGAAATTGAAATATTAAAGAAGACAAAGAGGGAAGGAGCAGTTGTACTTGACCGAGTACAAACAGAAAAAAAAAATTGAGACTGAAGAAAATGCAGTGAAAAACATTGAAGGATTAATTCCCAAGATATTTGAAAAATATTGAAGGACTAATTCCCAGATTTTTGAAAAGGGAGGAGGTGCCATAAAAATGTAATAGAAAAAATATGAAAAATGATGGTGCTACCCCTCCACCAAACTATGATAAAGAGCATATATTCATCTATTAGACCATATATTTAGTTTTTCACTTTTATAAAACTTTTGAAAACTAATAAAATTAATAACAAACATTTGTATGGTACTTTAAATTTTATCAGGCATTTTTTATACATTATCTTGTTTTTGACTCTCAGTAATCTTGTGAAGTAAGTACTGCAGAAATCCACAAATATCAAGGGTACTTTAGATAAAAATATATGAAGAGAAGAGGAAGACTTTTGTAATTGAGTTCCTATAATAGATTTTTTCAGTCATCTAACTCACCGAAATTTTCAGAAGCTATATCAGACTTTATTGTTTGAAGAGTAGGAAAAATCATTTGACTGTGGAGCAGAATGCAATCTTAAAGATTCCTCTGTTTTTTTTTACAAAAACCAGGTAAATTGACAACAAAGTACCAGCCTCACCTAAATAAAGATCATACTTATTTGATAAATTTGATACATATTTGATAAATATATTATCAGTGGTAATTTTATTCAGTGATCTTCTGATGATCATTGATAGGTGAGGTTGAAAAAAGGAGAGATATATGCATTCCAAAGATGCTTGCCACTATCATGGAGAATGTCAGCCTAACCTCTGAATAGAAGAATCCCCTATATGTACTTTTCCATATTCTAGAATATTATAGAAAATCTACCCTGAGATTTGCAGGCACTCAAAAGAGTTTGACATAGCAGTCCACATTGGAAATACACAGTGGGTGAAAAATGTCTATTGTCTAGACTATGATATAAAGTTGAATGGAAAACCCATTGAGTGGGTGTTACACATTGCAGATGGACAATTAAGTGGTTTGAGAATTGAATAGGAGGAGGAGGAGAGTGGGTTGGATTGCATTTGGGAAATAGTGCATTTCTTCAAATCATCCAAGCCTTAAATTAATTTATTCAATAAACATTTATTGAGCCCTACTATGTGCCAGGCACTGTGCTAAGCTGGTAAGCCTCTCACTAAGCAAATGCCCGTCTTTTTAATATCAATATTCTTCAAAGGATGCCACATCCTTGCAAATCATGGAATGTCACAATTATTTTAGAATCAAAATTATGGGTGATCCAAAGGACAATAGAGAAGAATTGGTTGGAGTAATTAAGCAGCAGCATATCACTCCTGATGACCTTTGTTCAAGAAGCAGAATAAAAGACATCCATGAAGTAGATGCTTGGAGATATTAATGGGCTAGTGATATTGAGAAGTGAAATAACAGCACATGGACAGTTCAAGTGTTGCACTAATACCTTTGGAATAGCCATCCTTGAAGTATCTTTCCCTTCTTTGAAAGTATCATCTCCAGCATGTAATAGATACTTTATGGAAGATTTATAGAGGACAACAGACAAGTCACAAAAAAAAAAATTAGGTGCAGATGAATTTTTGTCTGTAATATTGGAGGAAGTATCCACATTGATGAGATAATAGAAACATTGAAATATACAATGTGAATGGATTTTTGGAGCCAATTTAGACACTGAGATTTATGTTCAGGGACATTGAGGGTGTCAGAATTACGATAACTTAGAATGTTAAATAACGTTTCTAAAGTTTTTAGCACTTAATTGAATATTGGTATGTTTTCTTGGTCTACAAAATAAAAAAGCCACTTAAATTTTTTTTAAATCTTCAAATAATTTTGGTAAACTAAAGACTGATAATTGTAAAACAAAATGAGTATTAATAGCTAACATTTACATAAGTTATCTCAAGAATGTGAAAATATACTCTTGATTTCCTGCTGCCTATTGCATAAAATATAAATTTCTTACTCTAAAATTCACCCTACCTTTCCAGCTATAACTCTCCTCCCCTTTACAGAGTTTGCATCCTAGCCAAATTTGTCTCTTCACAATTCTTTGTTCTTATCCTTCCTTTTTCCATATCCATTTATTTGCTGATCATCTCACCCATGAATGGATGGCTGTCTTATCACTTTCTTTATCTGTTAAACTACCTCCTTTTTTTACGGGCCCAACACAGATTCCATCATCTCTATTTATCTTTGCTTTCTGAGAGATATTTCTCCTTCAGTTTTCTCCCGATTTTATGCATGAGTGTACTTTTGTCCCTTCATTTTCTCTCCCTATTAAACTAAAATCCTTGTGACTCTTTCTAGTCTCTAGTCTAGATTTGTGTCTCCTAAATATAGCACAGTGCCTATAATAAGTACTTACTAATTTTTAATTAAATTGAATTTTTCTTTTTCATCCTCACCCTTTCGAGTCTTCAATCCTATACTTATCTCTCTCCTTCTCTCTGGACCTTAATTCTGAAAATATGTAATTTAGACTTTGTGGAGGAAAATATTTTTATTTTCTTATTAAAGCATAAAATCTTCAATATTGTTTCATTGTAGTGGCAGATTTAATTAGATTTATATTAGTGCTTGGTATTGTAAAATAAACAGCATTTTAGCTATTTGCTAACTGGAGTGCCTATATTAGAAGCATTTAGATCTGTTAGACTCGGAAAAATCTTGAAAATTTGTCACTATTTTCATAAATTTATAGGTGCTGCTTTTTATATCTTTCCTTTGATCTGGTGTTCTTCCACCCATCAAACATTGATTGTTAGCATCAAATGATTTATTGCCTTATCATCCTACTACTTTAGTGAGCAATTTTGTAACTGTATCATTATTGTTGAATATAGATTGAACCCAGTCAAGAACACATATCATGATATCATAATTTTTGCCAACATCAACTTTAAGCAATAGAATCTTTGTTGGAAGAGTCATTATAGGTCATCCAAATTCATCCATACTGAAACAAGAATTCTCCATCTCATGATAGGGATCTTCGGTTCATTGTTGGACAGCATTTAATTATTAGAAAGTTTTTCCCTTTGTCAAGCTTAAACTTTCATTTCTTCAGATTTTATCTTCTACCTCTGCTTTCTGGAGCCAAATAAACAAATCTAATCTACACTTCCATGTGATACATAATGATGTATCAAATACATGCTGACAGCTAGCGTGCTGCCTGTAGTGTTTTCTTTCTCCAAGCTACACATTTCTAGTTGCTTCAGTCACTCCTTGTGTGTTATAGTGTCTAGGCTCTTCTTTCTCCAGTTTCTGGTCTTCTGGACATGTGCTCAGTGGTCATAGTCCCAACTAAAATAGAGCACCCAGAATCAAACACAGTAGTCTGTTTGTAGCTTAGTGTATTGCTCTTTGCTACTACTAATATAGTAGGGAGCAGAAATATTTTGCAAAATGGAATGATTTCTAGGTTTCAAAACAATATTATCTAAGGAGACAAAACTTGGCTCTTCCACTTCCAACTCTATCCAGAAATCTTAAGAAACTTGATAACAGAAACTGTCTTGTTTCTTTGTACTATAATATATATATATATATATATGTATATATATACACACTCACATATATATATATACACACACATATGTACATATACACATACATACATATAGGTATATGTTTATATAGGTATACATACATGTTTATGTGTGTATATGTATATGTACTTATAACAGCTGCTTATAAATATTTATTGAATAAACAACAGGCTCTCCTTTGTTATCTTCCCCCATTAGACTGTAAGACCTGTGAGGGCATCAACTGTCTTGCTTTCTGCTCTTTGTATCTTCAGCACTTAATGCATTCCTGACACAAAGTGAATGCTTCATAAATGCTTTATCATTGAAATAATTTTGTATGTTAAATATTCCTTTCAAAAGTAAATAGTAAAATAACATTAAATATTGATTTTACAATTCTAATTAATGCTAATGGAGCAATGATAACTTTTTTACAGAAGAAGGAAGAGAATTGTATAATTGTGTAATTTAGATACAATTATAATAAATATATTTCCATTATTATATAACAATTCCCATGTACCACATGATGTGAGTCATAATTATGGCTACATTAAAAGTTCATTGGACTCTTTTTTTTCACTTAAATAAATGTTCTTATTACCAGTTGATTTCTTTTAATCTTAGTAACATTTTCGTTCTGAGTAAATTAGCCATGCATCGAGTATGTTTTGTCCTATGAAATTGTAGAGTAAATTAAGTTGTTTAGTAGCAATGACTTCATTGCTGAATTAATTACAACAAAATAATTCAAATTATTTAAATAAAAATAGAAAAATGACTAAAAACAAATGATGCAGTATGACAAAAAAGGAGGGGGAAATGCATTATATCAGAACCATTCTTTGTCTGGGTGGACAGGAAAATCTTAGAGATTCTACTTTTTTCCCTTTTTTCACTTTTAGCTAAAATCATAAAATGGTAATCAGAAGACATTTGGAACTTGATCCTTAAAATTCACATTTTGAGTCATTTGGTAAATGGTTTTCTTTGTAGGCAACCCTTTTAGTTGATATCTATTTGCCACAGTCTGGTGTACAAGTATAATGGAATTACAGAATTGCAGAGTTGAAATAGCCATCAGAGCTGTCTAGCAAGATGCTGTCCAAATCATGAATCTCATTTACAATGTGCTGAAAAAGTGTTCATTTGGCCTTTACTTGAAGTTATGGGAATAAATGTTGAGTTGCATGAGGATCTCTCATTATTTCCCATTTTTGAACAGCTCTCATTATTGCAAGATTTATCCTTTTATTGACATAATTCATAGCCCAAATGCCTCTTTCTACTTGAAATCTTTCTTAGCATGGACAGAAATAGAACAGCTAGTAATAATCATGCCTCATCCATATTTGATTGTACTTTTTATTTATCATATACATTTATTATATTATAATTTCTTATTCATTTAGTCACTGAGTCAACAAGCATTTATTAAGCACCCTCTGTTCCAGGCACTGTGCTAAGTGATGAGAATGCAAAGAAAGGCAAATAACAGTCCCTGATGTCAAGATCTACTAGAGACAACAGGCAAATACCTATGTATATATGAATATATTGAGAATGGAAGGAAAATAGATGGAAGTTATCTTTTTTTTTCACTCTTTTCACCTATAAGCACCATGTCAGTGGAGTCTATGACCTTGTAGGTGCTATATGATCAATATTATTATGATTAACAACTTGTATTTGACCTTTCGTTCAGCAAAAAAATAGTGCATTTGGCATTTAATAAATTGAAGCAATGAAAACTTTTGTCTTTAAATACTTTAATCTTCCTTGTAGTTTATTAATGAGAAATGTTTCACACACCACTATCAATGCACATCATTTATTTCCCTAATATATTCTGTATTTAAGACAGTTGAAAACCTTGAGCTCTAGGGTGCTTAGTTTTTTAATATAAAATTTTACTTGTAAATTTGCTTTTTTTCTTTTTTCTTTTTTTCTAGGCCCATCTTTACCTTTGAAATATACTTAGTCTCAGAGCGTGCTTTTTTATTTGGTGCTGAAACTGCGCAGACTCAAAGAAAATGGACACAGGCAATAGCCAAGGTAACTTTCATCATAGTTCATGTGATCAAGAGCTTTTAACGGAATCCATTGTTGTAATAGGGAACTTGGAGAAACCTTTCTTCAAAATAGATTTCTCAGTTATATAAAGATTTTTATCGCAAGGTAATTTCTTGTGACTTTATATATTTATTATTTAAATGATTATTTATTTAATATGGATATGGTAAGTATGTTACCTAAAATATACTATATTACATAATGTGTGATTTAACATAATAAAATTATATACATAATGTATATCATCATAAATATATTCATATACTATGTAAATACCATTAAGTATTTCTGATTTTTGCCTGTGATGGCAAACTTTTTATCTATGACTTAGTAGATATGTTCTAGGGAATATTTTGAGGCATTGATAAGTGACTTGCCCACATCTCCACAGTTGGTAAGTGTCAGGGGGAGGTTCAACTTAAATCCTCCTGATTTCTTGCTCAGTATACCATCTACTATGCTGCTGATCCCTCTTTATTATACGTAAATTAGAGACAAATTTAAATATGTTGTTACTGTCATCTTCTTGGCATCTTGAGGCCAAGATCAACAGTATTATTTTAAATATTTTAAATATCTAGACTAGAGACTAGAAAGAGTCACAAGGATTTTAGTTTAATAGGGAGAGAAAATGAAGGGACAAAAGTACACTCATGCATAAAATCAGGAGAAAACTGAAGGAGAAATATCTCTCAGAAAGCAAAGATAAATAGAGATGATGGAATCTAAGGTGCTTAGAGCTGCGTTCAACATCAAATATGTTTTTTCAAGTTTTGTTATCCTTCCCATATCTCAAAGAACAAATGTTTTTCTTAGTATATCAATTAGGAATGAATTCCCAAAGTATATTTCTAGTTAAAAATCAAAATTATTATAAGCTTAAAATGCCCCAAAGTTTCCTAAGTATTAAAAGCATAAATTTTTTGTCAAAGTTTATAATTTTTTGCAATGTTTAGAGAGCATTTGTAGATTTTTTTTTACTTTGTCTTTTCCTTACTTTTTGGAATATGGGGTTTTTATTTTCATTAGGGTAATTTCTTCTTTGTGCTTGTTTTTCTAGCATTTTGTTCCCTTTGCTGCTGAAAATTTAGCAGAAGCTGAGTATGACTTGATTGGTCAATTGTACTACAAAGATTGCCATACCCTGGATCAGTGGAAAAAAGGATGGTTTGCTATGGACAAGTCTAGACTACATTTTTGCCTTCAAATGGAAAATGCTGAAGAAGAGTTGATGTATTTAAGGAGATTACAGGAACTAAGTATGGTTTTCCTCATTTTGTTTTTCCTTAAAATAAGTTTTAATTTTTTTCATTTTAAGTCAAAATTTTGAAAATAGGAATGGGTGGTGATTTATCTATATGTTTGTAGAACTTTAGCACATTTGTTTAGGTCTAGTGAATAAATTATTTCTTGCAACATAATAAAAATTATGGTAGTTTCCAGTTCATAACATTTGATAGGTAAAAAAACTACTTTGTTTGCTATAAACCAGTGAGTCTGGTATTTCAAATAGGTGATAGATATATCCCCATTTTACAGATGAGAAAAGGTTAAGTGAGGTTAAGTGACTGCCTCATAGTCTTACTACTAGTAGGTGACAAATGGGAATTGACATGGGATTTTGAGCTGGAACAGACACTTGAGATTATTTAAACAAATCCCTTCATTTACAGATTAAGAACTATGGCTCAATGAGGTTAAAGTGATTTGACGGAAGGTAGCTGGTGGCTCAATGGATAGAATGCTGGGCTTGGCATCTGGAGGGGCTGAGTTCAAATTCAGCTGTGACTGTGGGCAAATCACTTAACTGCTGCCTGCCTCAGTTTCCTCAACTTTAAAATGGGGATAATAGCAGCACCTACCTCTCAAGGTTGTTGTGAGGATCAAATGTAAAATCATTTAGCACAATATCTGGCACAGAGTGGGTTCTGTATAAACCGATATTCCTTCCTCTCTCCCTTCATCTCACAGGTAGTAAAGTCAGAATTTCAACCTAGATCCTCTAACTCCAAATACATTTCTTTCCACTAAATGTGATAATATTTGATATTTGAAAGATGTAGATGTCTATTCAGAACGAACTTTCTCTCTAGTTTATCTAGTGGTAGCCATCACTCTTTTTGGGGGGGGGGGTGGGAGAGGGTCTTTTCCTGCCACCCAATCCAAACCATATTTCAAAAGTTACAAGTCCTATCTTTAAAAGTTTTGATTTAGCATTATATAGAAACATCTTTTTATGAAAATGGATATAATCTGATATTTTCATCTATCATTTTTCTTTTATAGAAATATTAGCTAAAATTTTTATCAGATGAAATAGTTTACAATTAATTGAATGATAAAATCTCAAATGTTTCTTAAAATAATTGTTTGGTATTACATATTTTACTTTTCCAAGCATACATTTATTTTGTTGGCTCATGGGTATGAAAAGTATCAAAAAAGTGAAAAGAAAAATAAATTCTAAGATGAAAAGAGTTTATCAGAGAAAAAATATATCCTAAAATTGATGAATATTCATTTAAAAATGAATGATACCCTTTTAAATGCTAATAATTCATATTGGCTTTAAACTTATTGAGGGGGTGTTTGGGATGTTAAGGGAGGATTAGTACCTCTGATGTGAGGGCTTGCTGAACCCTACTTTCCATCTTTGGTGTCTACCTGTCACCCATCTCTCTCACCTGTGGCTCCAAGAAGCCATAGCATGCTCAGCAGATATCTTAACCAGACTGAGGGTAATCGACAGGCCTCAGTCCTATTGGTGAGTTAAGGGGCTGTCTACCCCAAGCATTTGAAAACTTCCCCTGGTGGAATGGGCAGATGAGAACAATTTGTTCCAAGGGCCATGAAGGAGGCTGAAACAGGCATGGTGAGGTGCTTAGAGCTGGGTTCAACATCAAATATGCCAAGGCCTTCCACTGCATCCCGGCCCATCGTGAGTGGTCTTGACTTTTTGTCTTGTCGCTGGATTTCAGTGAGTCTACAAGACAGAGTGAGGCTGATGACTTTGTGCAACTATGACTCATTTAAATTCAATTCATGCACAAGACATTACCCATGACATCGTTAATTCTCTTTGAAAATGAAGAGGAACAACCACAAACTTATTTAATTTTAGTAATATTACATGATAATATTATGAGTATTTATCATATATTTATGAGTAGTTACCAGTATATACACATCAATTCTCTAAATATCTTTACCACCTAGGAAATTAGGGAAATTAAGGAAATACATTGTTGCAGACTCTTGATCACTCATATTGATGGGGGAGTGGAATGTCTAATCCAAAATTGGCTTTACTTGGGTAATGTGTTTTTTTATTCATACATTTGTGTGTGATTCTTCTGAAAAAAATCTGGCAGCTGCCTTAGCTTTTAGAAAACTATAATTTTTTTTTGTTTGGCTTTGTTTTCTTCCAGCAATCAGCACAGTGATCCAAAATGGAGAAAAAATAGATGTCTTGCTCTTGGTTGAAAAAGGAAGGTAATGGAATCTTTTTGTACCTTAGTTATTCCACATGGGAGGGAAATGTGGTCATTAAACCCAAGACCCTTAAGCAGAAAATTATTTATTATTTCTATTTTTTTGTTGGAAAATCTTTCATATTACCCTTTCTTGCAATAGTAAGTAGAGTTTATGGAATATATTTTAAACATGTCCTGATGACTGTGTTCCTTGCTTTGGCTGATTATGTTTTGTTACAAATACTAGAGTTTTGGAGATATTGGGATGAGTCAACACTTACCTGAGGGCATATACCTGAACTTGTCTTTGAAACCACTTTAATCTCTTGATATTTATCTTTCTTATCATGTCGATGACTACTTAGGCAATTTTCAGCTATTAATAATTTCCTAATATCAAACAGAGTAAAACCACTTTTCTCCAAAATTTTCAGATTTTTTTGGTAAAATCATCCTGTTTCTGGAATTCAATCAATAAGCATTTGTTTTGGCATTGAGGATACAGAGGCAAAAATGAAACAGTCTGTACCTTCAAGAAACTTATATTCTTTCACAGGAGGAAAAAAAAAACCCAACATGTACGCTTAGAAGCAAATACAGAATGCATAAAAAGTAAATGCAAAATAACTTTGTTGATGGGGAGATACTAAAGACTGGTTTCAGGAAAGGCCTCATGCTCCATTGAGGAGAGCTTGGAAGAGAAGTTTTCTGCCCCCCTACTCCTAGCATCAATAACCCATTCAATCCACTTCTAGTTAGCTTCAACCCACTTTATGCCATTTGCTTTAACTTGTCTTGGAAAGATCTCTTATGCACATTCAGGATAGTGCCAACTCAGATTATCTAAAAACTGATTGTATTTTATATGTTATAGGCATAAATGTGAATTTACAACCTTTGCTCTTATTTAACTTCTAGATTACTAGATAGCTGGGAGTGGCAGACTTAGCTGCCATATGCTCTTTTAATCATCATGGTAGTAAGAGTAAAAAATTGATATTTAAAAGAAAATAATTAAATCTATAAGCACTGCAAAAATCTATGATTCTATCCACATGTATGTTCCTTCCAATGATAAACCTCTCAACTTCTCCATGACTTAGCAGATGGCTTAATGAATTACTGTGACCACAAAAATTCATCACATAGTACCCACCTGGTGATGAGCCTCTGCAAACTTTGCAAGGCTGGTCCTTGGATTATAGAAAGAAATTTAGTCCATTGCAAGTTTATGCTTCTAGAAAGCATTTGGCCCTTCCAGGATGGGTACCTACCATTTTGCATCCCTAAATCACCTTCGTGCTATGATGAGTTATTGGAACAGGATGTTGCTAGAAAGAATACTCACTAAACAAACCTAAAATTATAATATAATTTCTGCTAATGTGTATGTTAAATATTCTTTTGTTGTGCTTTTGCTCTGACAGATTAAAGTAGCCAAGATAGACATACACATACAAATGCCAGTGTTAACAAGTTTCAAAATGTTTATAATGGAAGTGGCATGAACACAAAATTATCAGCTCTATATTAGGTTTATAAGCTGGGCATGTCAGTAAAATATATTTTACCTTTTTATGACCCTTCATATTCTTAATATGACAGGAAATAAAAAATACTCTGCTGTTCTATCCTCTGAATTCATTGAACTCTTAAAACTGCCGGTTAGCTCCAAAATGTAGTCATCTAAATAAAATACAAGACTATAGTTGCTTATTTATATTTAAGCATCTTGTATGAGTAATGGTCGTTTCATTTGCATGTTTTCTCCAGTGTTATCAGTGATCTCTTAATCACTAAATATAATGGCCTTTTGTCAATGCTCATCCTTCTTGTTTCCTCTGCGGCCTTGGGAATCTCGATCACCCTCTTCTCGCTAATCCATTCTCTAGATTGTTGTGATCTGCTCTCTCCTGCTTCCCCTAATTGTCAGGCTGCTGTTTCTTAGTCTCTTTTGCTGGATCTTCATCCAGGTTGTGCCTGTTAAAGATGTATGTCCTACAAGGTTTGGTCCTGGAATCTCTTCCCTTCTCCCTCTATACTATTTTACATGGTAATCTCAACTGCCATAGATTGAATTCTTTATGCATATGATTCTCGAATCTGTTTGTCTGATTGTAACTTCTCTCTTGGTCTATGGATCTCCATCTCTACTGACTAATGAACAACTTGAAGTCGATGTCATGTAGGACATCTTAAACTCAATATATAGAAAACTGAAACTATTATCTTTCCTTCAAAATCTTTCCTTTTTTTTTTTTTTTTTTTGGTGAGGCAGTTGGGATTAAGTGACTTGTCCAGAGTCACACAGCTAGTGAGTGTTATGTGTCTGAGGCCGTATTTTAACTCAGGACTTCTTGACTCCAGGGCTGGTGCTCTATCCACTGTACACCTAGCTACCCCCAAAATCTTTCCTTATTACTATGAAGGTCACCACCCTTCTCCCAGTCGCCAGTCTCTCAACCTAGGTGTCATACTCAACTCCTCACTTTCCCTATCTATTCCGTTGTTAAGTCCTGACTTTCTTCCTAACATTTCTCATATAAACCTTCTGTCTTCTGACAGTACTGCTGCCCTAGTTTGGGCCCTCACTGCCTCACACCTGGACTATTACAGTAGCCTCCTGGTGATATCCCTGCCTCAAGACTTGCCCCATTCTCCACTCAACTGTCAGATTGATCTTCCTAAAGCCCAGTTCTGACATTGTTATCCACCTATTCCATCAACTCCAGTGGCTCTCAATGTTGGCTTTTAAAGCCCTCAATAATTTGGATACTTCTTATCTTTCCAGTTTTCTTATTCCTTATTCACCCTGATGTACTCTCTGCAATGCAGTGACAGAGTCATAGTCAATAAAAGTTTATTAAGCACCTACTATATGCCAGACAGCCTCTTCCCTCAAGGAGCTTACAATCTGATAGGGGAAGACAGCACATAAAAGGAAGCTGAAAAGCAGGATGGAGGAGAGGGGGAAAGTAGCCAGCACAAGGTGAGTGATAGTAGAGACACTTCCTTGATATATCTCAAGTGTGACACTCTTCCTGACTCTGGTCATTTTCACAAGCTGTTCCCCATGCCTAGAATTTTCTCCCTTCTCATCTCATCCTCTGAACTTCTATATTTTCCTTCAAGTCTTAGCTAAAGTTCTGCCTTTAAAGAAGCCTTCCTCATCCTCCTTAATCTTAATGCCTTCCTTCTGGGATTATCTCCCTATATCCTGTTCATACAAAGTTGTTTGCATGTCATCTTCCCTCGTAGACTGAGCCCTTTTATAGTGGGGATTTTTTCTGTCTTACGTATCTTTGTATCCCTATCATTTAGTACAATGCCTGGCACATAGGAGACAATAAATAACTTATTAAAGTGTTTGCCAGCTATGTTTTCCAGCCTATTGTGCAAAAACATTTATGAAGTTTTAGAATTTTAATTTTTCAAGGTAGTATATTATGGGATGGGGACAGAAGGGAGCAATCATTTTAGATGATTTTAAAAGATGGTCTGCTATTATAGGCCTAGAATATATATCTGAAAATCTCTTTGAATAGTATTTCTAATGTATCTGTCCAGCAAAAAGCAAAGAAAGAAAAGAAAAGAGAAAGAAAGAGAAAATTAAGCTGTCAGTTATCTTTTGTCCAGTTATTCAGTATGTTTCCATATTAGACAAAATATTATGACTTAAGAATAATCAAAGTAGTAATATCATTAATAATACACCTTAGTAATTTTAAATGAACATTTATGGTTGTAACAATTTTTATGATGCATATTAGTGTTTTCCCTGTTTAATTGTATTAAGAAACTCACAAAAATAAATGAAATTCTCTGAACAACTATCTGTCTACATATTTGGAATATTTTATTATTATAATACTCATACTTAAATGGAGCCGTAATCTCATTACTGTGGCTATTCCCTCTAGTAATTCAGATGGTAACTTACCCATTTCTGTCCATGCTGAGTAATTCTTGTCCATGCACCCTCATAAATTTATCACACATTAAGCTAACATAGGTAAGGGCTTTCCAAAATTTCTCTTGACATTGTGAGGAACTATGTTGTCTGTCAGTTGGTTATTACCAGTACTCACCATGTGACCAGGTCTTGTTTAAACATCCTATAAACCATTTCTTTGTAATTTCTTGTGTACAAGGTATTACAATCTGTTTACCAACTTCAATTGTGTGATCCTTAATTTGATTCCTTGACTCGTAGCCACACAACAATATTGGTAGAAAATTGGCATTAAAAGAATGGGTCTTGGTTTCAAGGAGAAGCTCCTGAATGATCTCATTTGGGAGATGAATGGATTGATAGATGGATGACTAGCTAGCTAGCAAATAAAATATATTGAGCTGGTCACTATGCTAAGTGCTGAGGATACATAAACAAACAAACAAGACAGTTCCTTTCCTCAAGGAACTTACTGATGATAGAAGACAACACATAAAGAGCTGTAAAAGGTATGTGTGTGTTAGGTGAGGGGCATAGCATGATGTGGATATTGCCATGTAGATATGGCCAAGAAGTGGCAGGGAAGACTGGTTGAAGGCAAGATAAAGTAAAACTCAACCATCAGAGCCTTGAGAGCCTGGTGTTTCAGAGCTACAGTCTAAGGTTCATTGGGGAGATGAGAATGAGGCCTTCAGTGGAGCCAGCATGGTGTGGAGATTTCTAGGATAGGTGCCCTATAACATTTTAGGGATTGCTACAATGAGCAAAACATTATCCACAAACCTTTGGACAAAGGTTTGGACAAAGCTTTTGAATAACCTTACCAACTCGCATAATCCTTTCTCTACTTGAACGCTCTGCTAGATTTCTTCCCTAACAGTGTTCAACACTTTTGGCAAGCATAATGGCTCCTCATTCACTGACTTCCTTGATATTACTGATCAGATATTCATTGAACAAGGTTTTCTCTTTTGTAATATCTTTCAAAGAATTTTGTGTAATTTTGACATATGTGTGGGAGGCAACTTGTCAGAGAAGAAACTTTAAGGTTATTTTGGTCCACCAAA